ACACACACACACACACACACACACACACACACACACACACAGAGCAGGGAGCTACCCACACGACACACAGTACCACAGCAGGGAGCTACCCACAGCTAGGAAGCAGCAGGGAGCTACCCACAGGAAGCAGCAGGAAGCTACCCACAGCTAGGGAGCAGCGAGCTACCCACAGCTAGGGAGCAGCGAGCTACCCACAGCTAGGGAGCAGCAGGGAGGTACCCACAGCTAGGGAGCAGCAGCGAGGTACCCATAGCTAGGGAGCAGCAGCGAGGTACCCACAGCTAGGAGCAGCAGCGAGGTACAGCTAGGGAGTAGGAGCTACCCACAGCTAGGAAGCAGCAGGAGCTACCCACAGCTAGGGAGCAGCAGCGAGCTACCCACAGCTAGGGAGCAGCAGCGAGCTACCCACAGCTAGGGAGCAGCAGCGAGCTACCCACAGCTAGGGAGCAGCAGGGAGCTACACCACACCTGGGGCAGCAGGGAGCTACCCACAGCAGGCCTGCAGTCCACAGCTTAAAGCAGTCAAAATACCCCATCAAAGTACCAGGAAGTACCTAACAGCTGGAGAGGCGAGCTACCACACCAGAGCACAGGGAGCTACCAAGCAGTGATTTTCACAGGCTGTCTACCACAGCTAGAGAGTAGGGTACCCCAAAACAAGAAGGAAACCCACAGCTAACGGATTCAGCACGAGTCTTCCCAGAGGGGCAGCCGATACCCACAGTGGACAAAACCTGCAAACTAATTCCCACCCCATCTAGGGGCGCAGCGATGTACCACACTAACCTCCAGGACCCAAGCTGGCACACCGAGGTTCCCCACCCTAGGACTTCAGCAGCAGTTAACCACCTTTTTCGACAAGCGGCTACCCCACAGTGGTGAGTCAGCAGCAGGACCAGCCTAGTAAAGGGGGGGCGAGTAAATATGTATGGTAGTGGCAGAAGTAACAGCTAGGTGCAGTCAGCGAGGTTCACAAAACATACAAAGGGTCAGCATTAAATTGTACAATAGGGAGCTGAGAGTGACTAACGCTACGGTGAGCACTCAGGACTACCCAGCTTGGGCAACCTACCCCAGTAGGGAGCATTCAGGGTCACCCACAGCTAGGGAGCCCAGTACACAGTGGGGTCAGGCGGACCCACGCGGGGTACAGGGCTGACCCCAGCTGTTACTGCGTGCTGCACCAGTCTAAAGGAGCACAGCGTGCTACCCACAGCTAGGAGCAGCAGCGAGCTACCCACAGCTATGGAGCAGCAGCGAGCTACCCACAGCTGGGGAGCAGCGAGCTACACACACCCGTACACATCTACGCCAGTGTTACAGCGCCTGCAGTCTGACATGTTAACGTCAACTCTCCCTTCAAAGGTTTCTTCCAGGAATGTACCTAGACACTGGTGAGGCGAGCTGACCACACCATAGTAAAGTGACACAAATGCAGTTAATTTTTAACACACCGGCTGTTTCCCACCAAGGTAGGGTGGCCAAGACAAGAAGAAACACTTTCACCAACACTCGTTCTATCACTGTCTTGCCAGAGGGACGCCGATACCACAGTTCAAAACTGCAAATAATTCCCACCCCTTATTCAGAGTGCAGGCATTGTACTTCTCACCTCCAGGACTCTCAAGTCCTGGCTAACCGGTTCCCCTTCCCTAAATCCTTCATAAATGCAGTTATATGGAACCTTTATCGACAACGTTTCTCCCGCACAGTGGGTTGTGTCAGGTCTTAGACAGGACAGCCTAGTAAGGGAGGGCGAGTAAATATGTAATGGTAGTGGCAAAGTGAAGAGTTAGGTGCTAGTCAAGTCATAGTGATTCACAAAATTCTTATTTTTTTTTATCAAGAGGTTCAGTTTAAATTGTAGAAATATTTGTTGTGGCTGAAGTTGTTTTAGACGCTGACGAGTGCGGACTCAGGACTCTTCTGTGTCATCCTTCTTCCTGGAGGGTATTCAGGGGGTCAACGCCCCCGCGGCCCAGTCCATGATTAGGTTTCGCGGTTGGTAATGGCCTGATCAACCAGGCTGTTACTGCTTGCTGCACGCAATCGAATGTATGAACCCGTATGTATGGCCGTAGCTCAATCGCTAGCGTACTCAGCTCATACAATGAGGTCCGGAGTTTCCATAAGCCACTTGCTGTCCCTGTTCACCCATCAGTAAAATGGGCACCTGGGAATTAGTAGACTGGTGTGGGTCGCATCCTGGTACAAAACTGACCTAATCTGCCCGAAATGGTCTGCATAACAAGGCTTTCTATATAGTAGTATGTCACTGATGTCAGCTAGGACTGTGTACCTTGTACATGTACTTATAAATAAAGATATTATTATTAAATTCGGCTGGTCGGGTACTGACTTCAGGCATCTGTCCAGCTTCATCTTGAAGACAGCCAGGGATTTATTGGTAATCCCCCTTAACTACTGGAAGGCACTTGAGTCTTGGGCCGCTGACACTTATTGTGTTATATTTTAGTGTACTCATGAACCTCTACTTTTCATTGCGTTTATGTTGCAACCGCCTACCGAGGCTTTTGTTTTCGTTGGGAGTGATTTGTGTGTGTAGATTTAGGACCAATCCTTCTAGGATTTTCCAGGTGTAAATTATGTATCTTTTTGGCTTACGTTCCAAGGAGACCTCAAACGGTCTCGGTAAACGAAGGGCTTGACTGTACTATACGTGTAGTGAAAGTTCTCTGTATATTCTCCAGATCTGCAATTTCTCCCTTGAAGGGGCCATTAGTGTACATCAATATTCCAGCCTTGAGAAAACGAGTGACATGAGAATTATCATTGGCTTGGCATCCCTTGCTTTGAAGGTTCTCATTATGTATCCTGTCACTTTCCTAGCAGATGTAATAAAGAAATTATGATCTTTGAAAGCGAGATCCCCTGACATTATCACTCCCAAGTCCTTCACATTAGTTTTCCTCTCTATTGTATGGTTAGACTTTCGTTTTTACTGCAATGTAGCTTTTATTTCCTCAAGTTTTTTGTAGTGGAGTAATTGAAATTTTTCCTTATTGAACTTCATGATTTTTTTGGTCTATTGGAAGACATAGGTTATATCCTCTTAGAGATTTGCAATGTCCTCAGTGGATGTCACTCTCATTCAGGTTGCTAAATTTATTCTGTCATACTGGTGTCCTAAAATTAATTCGTGGAGGTCTTTTGATGTCTCTTCACATTAATTTTGCCACAACTGTTACACAGGCATGGTGTATACCCCAGCAGTTGAGTTACTAGTACATTATATTGGTGGTGCAGCTCTCTGCTGGAGTTCTTGATGGTAGTAGAGGCAGGGGTTTTGTATTGAGTTTACTCCTGGAGAAAATCTTGATGTGTTTGACAACCAATTTGCTGAGGACTCCTACGATTTACGAGGTCTACCTACCTTCCTGGAGGGTAGATAGGTAGACCTCACTAAAATGTCATTTTTCATTTGTTCTTCCTTTGAGTACTCCATCTTGTGAGAGACCTCTGACTTAACAGTGGGTTTCCAAGTGCAGTCCCAGCATACCTCATATTGAAGGTAAACCTTTTTTTTTTTTTCATCCCTTATTTTGTCAGATAATTTTGTTATGTGGACGACATCGCCCACCGAAATTCGACATCTCATCCATCAAAAATACAACCCCACGAGGCCGAACCTTCTCTACGGTTCACATTTAAAGAGGAAACCACTGATACGTTTCCTCTAGAGGTTTAACTGTGCAAGTATGACAAACGCAGTTTTAAGGTTTATCGGAAACCCACCAACCTTCATGATCTTCATCCACATCACAACACCAGGGTTAAATGCAGTGTTCTTAGAGCAGTGGTTCCCAAACTTTTTCAGTTTGTTACCCAATTTAACATGCCACATAAAGCATGTTACCCCTTTCACAAAATGTTGTTATTATTGATATATATTGCTAAATTAAAACACTTGAGATATTTTCTTTTATTTATTGTATTTGAACATTGTGCATCTCTAATGACTATTACCAAAGATGTCAAGAACATCAGTGGGATGGATGGAGTTGAATACTTGAAGCTAGTTTTGGAGTTCTTGGCTTCGTGGTTGAAAGTGCCAGCCTGGCATCGTTTGCAACATTCAAGCGAGTCCTCTTTTTTTATTTTCATACCCAGCACAGTTGAGAAGCCCTTCTCGCACAGATACGTTGTTGAGAATGATACCAACAACTTCAAGGCTCTCTTGGACAGAGTTGGCGAGTCAGGTAGTCGTGAAATCCAAAAGGAATCTGCATTTTGGTTTTGGAATTCGATTTTCAAGGCTTCATTGGTTCGCATTGTGATCCACTCCTCCTTTGCAGGGAAATCATCATCATGAATGGCATCATCAGGTACAGAGAAGGGATGAATGATCCACTGAAGAGTGGCTGTTTCTTGGTCACTCTCTGGAAAGTAGTGATGCATGCTTGTTTCAAGCCCCTTCAAATGGTCGCTCATTTCTTTGTTGATGGTCTGTAGAAGTGATCCAGTATCATGACTATTCTCCTCAACAAACTGGTCTAGGGTGGGAAACTGGGCGATCACTCCTTTCTCCAAGCGCCGAATCCAGAGTCTCAGTTTCCCCAGAAATGCAGTCACAGTGTGATGGGCATCAATGACAGTCGTGTTTCGGCCCTGGAGTTGCAGATTACCACTGTTCAGCTCCGCAAATATGTCAGCCAAGTAACAAAGTCGAGCAAGCCACTCCTTATCGGTGAACTTGGTAGCAAAAGGAGATCCTTTTTGTTCCAGGAATTCCTGAACAGCTTTTCGGAGCTCAATGACTCGACGTACAACCTTGCCTCGTGACAACCAGCGAACATCGGTGTGGTAGAGCAGAACTTGATACTGCTCTCCCATTTCCTTGCACAGCTCCTTGAATATGCGCGAATTCACATCTCTGGACTTGATGAAGTTGACGATTTTCAACACATCTTCAAACACTAACTTCAGATTACCAGGCAGGCTTTTCGATCCAAGAGAGTACCGATGAATGATGCAGTGATCTACAGAAATTTCTGATTGATAGCTTGTATGAGGCCCCGTAATCCACGATGACCACCCATCATCGACGGTGCTCCATCGACGGAGACCTGGAATAAAAAGAAAAATTATTATAGACTGCGTCAGTTAGTCATTGTTACTTATCTTTTGCATTATAATTATATGGTTTTAATTAATTATTTCGGTACTTGAGTATTTCAGTACGACAGGCACGATATTTTTTGTGTGAATCATGTACAAAATATTAGTTACACTACAGTTACTTGTACAATAAATAAAACTATATGACTATATGCCGTGTAATTCATTGTATTTATACTAATTTAGACTTTATATAAACATCGTTTTCCTACCTGTTGAACGCTGTTCCAATCCAATCCATTCTTGGTAAAGAAACTGTTGATGATATTGAAGACATCTTCTCCCTTTGTGGTTGTCAGCAGATCCTCGCATAATAGGAACTCTTCTTTGATCTTGTCCTGGTGGACGTAACGGACGAACCCAAGGAGAACAGCACAACTGGCTACGTCACACGATTCATCAAATTGCAAGGAGAATTTGCCATATGAGCTTTCCTTGATCTCTGTTGTAACTTGGGACAGGATATCTGATGCCATGTCATCGACTCGTCGGCGGATGATGTTGTTTGATAGAGATATGACACTCAGTTTCTTCGCTTGATCCTCCCCACATACCTTGCTTACCATCTCGTATGCACAAGGCATAATCAGATTCTCTGCAATGGTGTGGCATTTCTGTTGTTCGGCAATTTTATATGCAACACAGGATGCTTCGACCGCAGCTTGAAGTTTTTGGGCTTGAATTCCAGATGAGCCGAACTGGATATTCTTCAGTGCTACAGCCTGGCGCTGAAAATAAGCCTGATCCTTATTTTGAAGATTTGGATGGCACTTCTGGAGGTGAGCTGAGAGTTTTGATGGCTTGAGGCTTTCATTTGTCAACACTTTGTGACATGCCACACATTGTTTATCTGGAGAGTTTATCTGGAGAGAGTTCTGGGGGTCAACGCCCCCGCGGCCCGGTCTGTGACCAGGCCTCCTTAGGTCAGTGTCCCAGGATGCGACCCACACCAGTCGACTAACACCCAGGTACCCATTTTGCTGATGGGGAACATAGACAACAGGTGGAAAGAAACACGTCCAATGTTTCTACTCTGGCTGGGAATCGAACCCAGGCCCTCACCGTGTGAAGCGAGAGCGTTAACCACCAGGCCACCAGTGGCCGATCCTCTCCACCAGAATTAAATTCACAAAGCCATGCGAGAAGGCGTCAGTGAGGTAGCGCTTTTTGAACATTTACTTTTCAATCTGCATGAAAAAGAAGAATATCCATGCAATACACTGCAAAACGCAAGGTACATAATTTCTCGCAATGGCAGCTAACACAAGTTCACTGATGCAAGCACACACGCATACATCAAAATGTCAGTCTGCAAGTATCATGCTTGTCAGCACAAAGCACCGCGTGTAGACGCGAGACTACAGTGAACGTATGACAGCCTGCTACTATGCTATTCCTAGCAAAACCATTGAAAACGTAATGAACCACACATACATATATCATAAAATTAATAATAGTCTTAAATTCACAGTAACATGGGTTAAATACTAACTATATACTGCACAGGGCATACACATACATACCAGCATATGTCTACCTCGGCTGATGCTCACAGATAAACTGACAGTGTTGAAATAGAGGCAGCTCAGAAGTGAGTGACCGTACTGGACAGGTCCGATCTTGGCCTAACAGAGTGACTTTTATCCCGAAGCATACTTGTCAAAATTACTTTGGGTTTCCACTCACTTAGCTATATATTTCTTCTTTTCTAATACTGTATATTAGTTTTTGATGTTTATTGTTATTTGGTTTAACTTTATTACTTATAATAGGTTTACTTTACAACTTTATATACTAAGACAAAGTTAACAATAATCCTCATACCGGGTACTGCATTGTTTTCTTGATTTTCAGAATTCATAACTTTTTTTCTGTCACCCCTCCATTACCCCCCAAAAATGCTTAAATTACCCCCAGGGGGTAATTTACCCCCAGTTTGGGAACCAATGTCTTAGAGGCTTTCCTAAGGTCTCTTCTAATTTACAGTAACGAGTTTCTTAAATGATCTTTCCTTAATGAATCTTTTGCCTAACTAGAGCACCCATTACCTCTCTTCAGGGCTTGCAGACAACGTGACCATAACACCACGAAAGTGAGATACATAGTCCTTTTGCCCCAACAACTCGATTACCAAATAAATCTCCGAGATCTCCAAGAACAAGTTCAATATAGCCACCATTACTTCCATCATCATGAATATCACCAGCTAGAAACGCCATTCAACCACTGAAGGGCTATAAAATAACCTGTGCAACATGGCAAAATGTACGTAGGGAAAACTCCAAAGACCTCCACAAACTAATTTCGGAACGCCATTATGCCAGCAGAACAGACAGCCCTAACATAGCCTGCGTATTGCCAAGGAGGAAGACACCCAGAGAAGAATAACCCTTTAATCAGTACTCATTATTATTTCTAACAACTTCAACCAGAACAACGATTTCTGCAATTTACCTGAAGCTCTTGCCAGGAATCTTCTAGGATGTTTGAAAATCAATGTGACCTAACTCGCACTTCAACTTGTTCATCACCTCATTGCTGCTCACTATTATTTGCTCCTCCTGTTAAACCAAATTCGTCTCTCTGGGACAAAAATCCCATTGTGTGGGCAAAACGTTTTCAACTCTTCACTGATGTACGCAGCAGTGTCGATCAGTGAATGGTAGGGTGTTTGATCAGCTTACTGAGTCTTAAAGTAGGAAACCGTCTCCAGCACCACTACCAGAACCCCCCACCACCACCACTGCCAGTACCACCCAACCACCACCAGCACTACCACCACCACCACGACTACTGCCAGAACCTCAACAACCACCACCAGAACCACCACTGCCAGTACCACCCAACTACCATCAGCACTACCACCACCACCACCATCACTACTACCAGAACCACCACAACAACCACCATCACTACTACCAGAACCACCACAACAACCACCACCACTGCCAGAACCCCACAACACCACCACCACAACAACCACCATTACTACCACTACCAGAATCACCACCACTGCCTGAACCTCCCAACCACCACTGCCAACCACCACAACCACCACTGCCAGTACCACCACAACACACCACTGCCAGTACCACCCAACCACCACTGCCAGTACCACCCAACCACCATCACTACTACCAGAACCACCGCAACCACCACCACTGCCAGTACCGCCAGTCACCATCACAACCATCACCACTACTACCAAACCAACACAACCACGACTGCCAGAAAAACCACAACCACCACTGTCAGAACCATCAAAACCACCATTACCGCTACTACCAGAATCACCACTGCCAGAGCCTCCACATCCACCACCCAGACCACTGCCAGAGCCCAATCCACAACCCAACCCTCAACCAATCCACCACCCACCACTCCAACCACCACCAACCCACCTCTCCACCACACACCTACGCCGCCACCTAGCGCCGCCACCAGCGCGCCACCCCACCACCACCACCAACAGTTACACTGTTCATTTGGTTGTGATGGAGTATGATAATAAATAATAAAGGGTTATTGTTGTGATTCAATAAAGGCGTCAATGGAGAGACAGCTGCAACCTTGTAATGAATTCTCTTTCCCCTCTCTCTCTCTCTCTCTCTCTCTCTCTCTCTCTCTCCTCTTCATCCTTTCTCACTTCCTTTCCCCATTCCTTCTTCACCTAATGCTGTTCTCCCTCTCGTTATTCCTCTCCTACCCCTCCTTCCTTTTTTCTGTCTCCCTGGTTCCATCCCCTCCCCCTGCTTCCTTGATCCTCGCCATCTTCCCAGTACAGAGATCACAACGTACTGGAGACCTGGTCTGATAGTGGCCCCTCCCCCCCCCCCCGTCCCTGTTAGTAGTAGTTTTTGTAACTTGTGCTCTACATGGCTCACGAAACCGTAATAACACGATCGCAAATAAACCACGAACGGGTGAGATTTGAATCCATGGTGAGTGAGTCCTGGTCTAGAGTTTTAGGACTCACCCATCGTGGGTTCAAACCCTTCCCGTTCCGTGTTTTTTTTTTATATACATTACATCCACATCTGTCATATTAAATGGCCTTGTCATTTTCTTCAATATAGTATGGTACTTGTTGCCCAGTTCATGCCGGCGAAGTACCAGAGGACGTAAAGGGCGGGAGTTAGTTTCCTGGTATCCTGTCGTCGCCTCTACCATCTACGAAAGCAGTAGACGTTGATAAACTTTTAGTTATTTACAGAGGGAATGCACGGTCCACTGCTGGTCCCATATAGTGGAAACGTTTCGCCAACCAGTGGCTTCCACAGTCCAGTACTGGGAAGAATTGAAGATTGGAAGGAGTTTGAAGTAATCAGTCCCTCAGCCTCGAGTCGATGTGAACAGCCCGTCAGTACTGGACGATTACCATCAACACTAATAGACTGATCACATCGACTCTAGGCTGAGAGACTGATTACCTCAAAGTCCTTCCGATATTCAACAATTCTTCCCTGTATTGGACTGAGGAAGCCACTGAGTGGCGAAACGTTTCCACAATATACCCAAGTGTTGCACAAGTGTTTAGGTCATCATCCAGTCAGTTCTATGAACCATTTATCTACAATCAAAGTCGGGAAGATGAAGTGTGTCGTGTCTCCTCTTTCATGTCATTCATCATCCTGGTCTCATTCAACAGTCTGTCCTGCATAGTGATCTACTTAGACCTTGATGACCGTTGAGTCTGTTAGTGCACCCGCCATGCTGTCGCTGCCATCACTAGTACTAACAATTCCTTCTGCTACAATGAAACTTTGGTGTTCCCGTAGCTGCCGAACTTAAAATGGTCGTACTTAGTGATATCTTCATTACTTTCTGAAATCTCGCAGTTTAGGCGGCTGAAAGATTTCAACACTGTATAGCCTATCATAAACAGCATTTGTAGAGAAATGGGCTTGTATAAATAAGTACAAATTCTGCGCTGTAGTTAGGACACATGACTGGATGAATGGAGTCAGTCAGATCCCGTCCCTCATATTCCATCACGTGCAATGGAATATGACAGAAACAATCTTCTTTTCTTTCCATTTTGTAACTGTCCAATAGAATATGCAGCATCACGCTTATGATGTGTTAAAATTTACTAAGTAGAATATAAAATAAAAAAAAAAAAGAGCTCCATCGTAACCCTGTTCGAAGCAAACTTTGCTGATCTAGGTATTGTGATGTGCTAATCCTTGGTGCTGTGACGGACAAAGGCCAAACGTCACACAGTTCTGCGTATGTGTGTTGTGGTTGAAAAAAAAAAAATTTATTTGATACGTCTTTAAAGCAACTGAACATTTGGTGCCCAAAAGTCAAATTTAAAGTGAATGGGCATCCACATCCAGTATCGGGCCCTTGCTCAAACATGATGTGACTTATACTTGGATGGCAGCGAGGGAATGAGCGAGGTACTGAAGTCTGAGTATGAATGTTTAGTGAGCTATTAATCGGACTTTAAGATAGATAATCCGTATAAAATTTTCATGAACGAGCCTCAAAACATGCTGACAAGTCAATAAATGCCAATTTTCTGGCAAAACCTCAACCCCACTGACAACATGTCCATGCACTCTGCCCTAGGACCAGACTCGTGGAACACAGTATTCATCAAGAACTTGGACACTGATGTCATCCCACAGTCACTAAAATCAACGAATAATACTCCACTCCATAAAGGTGATAGCAAAGCAATTACAAAGAATTATGCACTGATAGTGCTAACGTCCCACATTATAAAAATCTATGAAAGGGTTCTCAGAATTATGATCGCCATCTACTTGGATTTCTCACATTTGCACAACACAGGGCATCATGGGTTTAGAGCAGGTCGCTCATGCCTCTCGCAACTACTGGACCACTGTGACTTGGTCCAGGATGCACCGGAGGACAAACAGAATGCAG